CTTTTTACAGCTGATTCCCATAAACCGCCCATATGAGGAGCACTTGGGGGTATATATTGCCAATTGATACCTTGAGGGGCGTACCTTTGTACGATGTCGGGTGACACAAGAAATCCACAAATTGCTTTTCTGTGGCTCGTTGAGCTCCAATAAAAGTTTGGCCATTATCGCTCATGATTTTAGATGGGTAGCCACGTCGAGCGAAGCGAGCAAATGCCGCGAGAAAAGCCTCCGTCGTCAGATTACTACATAGCTCAAGGTGTACTGCCTTTATCGTGAAACATACAAAGACAGCCACATAACCTTTCATGAGAATGGGAGACCTTGACTTAGACGCCTTTACCTGGAAAGGCCCAGCAAAATCAACACCTGTTGTAGTGAAAGGCAGATCGAAATTGCAGCGTTCTGGTAGAAGTACTGCCATAATCTGCGTTCGCATCTTCTGTTTGTGCATAGTGCAAATCTTGCACTTGAAGATGCACTTCTTGATTTGCGGCTTAAGACGGGGGATATAATACTCTTGGCGTACCATATGTTGAATGAGGCGATGTTCGGCGCGTAGCATTAAGATGTGGATGTAGCTGAGGAATAAAGTGACTCCCTGGGAATTACTATGGGTTGGCGTTCCTTGTATGTTAGCCTTGAATTAGCAAGCTGACCATTGGCACGAAGCAGACCTTTCGTGTCCAGAAATGGGCTTAGGACTTAGAGTGAGCTCCTTTTGTCAATCGGCTTCGATTCTCTTAGTAGTGATATATCGCGGCTGAAGTAGCGCGCTTGTGTGTATGCTATTAATGGGACCTTTGCCTTTTGTAACTCTAGGTGCGTCACTGTGTTGCATGGGAAATTATGTGATCCCTTGATTTTGCTTTTGAGTTGCTCTATAAATTTGAACATATAAGCAACTACTTTGAGAGCTCTTGGAAACGATGAAAATCGTTCAAGGATGTCGGTATCATCCAATAATGTTTGAAAGGTGGCGATTTTTCGACCTTCTGGGGCGATAATGTTGCGCATGGGGGATTGTGGCCAAGAATCAGGAGATTCTACCAACCATCTGGGGCCATTCCACCAGAGGGTGGTAGTGGCAAGGTGCAGTGGTTTGCAACCTCTTGTACCTAGATCGGCAGGATTGTCAGCACTGGCCACKTGACGCCAACTRGCTGATCCCACTAGGTCAAGAATTTGAGACGTTCGGTTRGAAATATACGTCTTCCATGCATGTGGTGGTTTTTCCAACCAGGCTAGTACAATTTCTGAATCGGACCACATATAGTTTGCATTTTGTCATGTTTAAATGCATTTGCACCAAGGCTACTAAGTTAGAAAGTAGTAGTGCGCCASATAACTCAAGTCGTGGGAGACTTATAGTTTTTAAAGGTGCCACCTTTGCTTTTGCTACTAATAAGTGGCTTGTGTCGTGGTATCACTTTGCGTGCGCACATAGATAGAAGAATAGAATGTTATTTGAGGTAATGTAGCGCGACCTAAGGTCTATTGTGCCCTCTACTATATCACATGACCTCCCAGAGCCCCAGCAGCCTGAATTGTTCTAGGAGTTTGCCGGGCGCTAGTGAGGTGATGTGATCCCTCCGTTCTCTCTCCACTCTCTTCTCCGTGCGCAGCAGCTCTTTAAGAGTGTGGGGTCCTACCGCTATGTATGGCTCCGGTCCCAACATCTTTGACGCTGCTGCAGTGCGGGCCAGTTCGTCGGCCTTCTCATTACCTTCTACTCCCTTGTGCCCTGGTACCCACATTACACCGACAAATGGCAAAAACTTCAGCCTGGGAGATACTTGGGAAGCTGCCCATAGGTATGGACAGCTTGGTACGCGATGCCACAATACCTGCCCCAATACCTTCCGGTGTTTTTGAGCCATCAGTGTACCACTGAGTGGTGCTGTCTTCGAGCAGCCTTTTCAGCGCGGAATCACTCCACACCGTCTTGCTGYCTAGAGTGACTTTGAAGTTCTTCTTGAAGTTTATTTTCTTTGTGGTGCTGTCCTTAGGGAGGAGGGCTAGCGGTGTGCTCTCCGGTAGTTCGTCCACCTGTCTAGAGGACATTACCTTCCCTCTTCCATAGCCTTCTGTTGACATTAGCAGCATGGTGTGCTTTGCTGCTAGCTTGATCACCTGATGCAGCGGTGTGAGCTCTAGTATGACTTCCAGTGCCACCGTGGGACATGTGCTCATTGCCCCTGAAGCACAGACACATGCAAGTCTTTGCAGCTTTGACAGTCTCCGAATCACTGAAGACTGCGCTGCTTTGGTGGCCCAGGCAACCGCTCCATAGGTGACGATAGGCCTTACTATCATGGTATACAGCCATCTGATGATACTTGGCTTGCATCCCCATGATCTGCCGGCCAGCCGTCTACAAATCGTAAGTGCTCTAGTTGCTTTGGACAGCGTTAGGTCCAAATGCCTGCTCCACCCTAATGATGAGTCTAAGGTGAGGCCCAGGAATTTGACCCCCTTAGACATTACCACCTCTGTGTCTCCAATTCTTAGGGACCTTAGGCCCGGAAGAGATCTCCGCTTAGTGAATGGGATCACGGTGGTCTTTGCCGGGTTTATATTTAGCCCTACCATGTTGCACCATCCTTTCGCCAAGTTTAAGCCCCTTTGAACAATGTCGAGAGTGTTCCCAAATCTGCCTCTCGCCATTATGACAATGTCGTCCGCGTATCTTTGACAGCGGATTTCATTGCTGGTGAGCCGCTCGAGTAGTTCATCTACTATTACGCTTCATAACAGAGGGGATAGTATTCCACCCTGTGGGCAACCCCTTGTGGTGCCAAGACGAATCCTACTTTCTCCCATTGTTGTTTCTGCTACCTAGTCTGCAGAAGGGCTTCTATCCATCTGCGTATCGGGGTGGGTACATTCCTTCGCTCAAGTGCCTTGATAACACTAGTATGAGATGCATTATCAAATGCACCCTCAATGTCTAGGAAGGCGCAGATCGCAACCTCGCCGTTATTCAACGAATCCTGCAGCTCAGACGTGAGTTGGTACAGAGCAGTGTTTGTGGATCTGCCCGCTCTGTACGCGTGTTGTCTGGTATGTAGGGGTGCGATCTTCAGCGCTTCCGATCTGRTATGGTTGTCTATTACTTTCTCCATTCCCTTCAGCATGAAGGATGTGAGACTTATAGGCCAGAACGATTTTGCTAGGGAATAGTCTCTCCTCCATACCTTGTGGATGAAAATTACTTTTGCAATTCTCCATGGCTCAGGGATATACGACATCGCCAGGCTGTCTCTCATCAGTCCTAGGAGGTGTGGTAGGAGAATATCCACACCTTGCTGCAAGAGGGCCGGGAAGATCGTCCACTCCGGTGACTTAAAGCTTGAAAAGGAGGGCAGTGCCCATTTGACTGAGTCTGCAGTGAACAGGTTTCTTGCAGTCAGCCAATCTGAGCGATCTGGCCTACGTATGACCGAGGCTGGATTTAGGTGAGCTTGAACCGTCCCCGGGAAGTCCGTTTGTAGGAGTGTTTCCACCCTTTCCTCCGCACTTGTCGTATAGGTCCCGTCGTTTCTTTTTAGGGATAATACTATGTCCGTCTTGCCCTTCGACAACGCCTTATGCAGCCGCGCTGCCTCCGGGGTCGAGGAGACGCTATCACAGAATTTCCTGAAACTGTTTGTCGTGGCAAGCCTAATCTCCTTGTTATAGAATGTTAGATGCCGTTTGTAATCCTCCCAGCTGCCTGCGCGCTTGGCTTGGTTGAACAACCTACGCACCCAAAGTCTAAGAGCTGAGAGTTTACTAGACCACCAGGGGCAGATTTGTTTACTGCTGGTCGCTTTTAGTGGACAGGCACAGTGATAGGCGTCCATAATGGACTGGTTTATGGCACTCAGTCTGCTTTCCAGTCCATCTGTGGTGGATCTATCATCCGCCTGCCCCACTCCACTTACATTATGACTTAAGGTCTCTCTGAAGATACTCCAGTTCGTATTTCTAGGAGTACGTGTCGGAGGTTTGTTCGCGACTTTTACCCTCAGAGCAAACCGAATGATCCTATGATCTGACAGTGAGGGCTCCTTTGACACCCGCCACTGTGGGATCAGCCCGATCATGTTGTCATTGCTCAGGGTAATGTCTAGGACCTCCCTGCGAATACTGGTTACGAAGGTGGGCTCACAACCCACATTCTCGATGCTCATATTGTTACCAATTATGAATTCAAGAAGTGACTCACCCCTCACGTTGCAGTCCGTGCTACCCCATTCCGTGTGATGCGCGTTGGCATCACATCCTAACGTTAGGGGAAGAGTGTTGCGTCTGCAGTATTCCACCAGACTGAGTATTGATGGGAGGGGAGGGTTGTGTCCGTCTCTCCCGGAAAGTATGCGGAAGCGAGAACGAAGTCCGATCCTTCCTTGTCCTTCACCTGTACCGCCAGATCTTGCGTTAGAAACTCTGAAATACAGAAAAAGTCTATATCGGCTCTAACGACTTACCTTTCTTCTTCTCGAGTTGAGGCCTCTTACCTCTACTTTGAACACCCAAGGGTCCTGGATTAGGACGATGCTCAGGTTATCCGAGATGAACCTCTTCACGATGAAAGCCGAGGCTGCCGATGCGTGATGTAGGTTCACCTGAGCCACTTCCATGCCGGCACTGGTGCCTATATTATATGTTCGATGAGAGAGAGGTCCTAGTCCTCGATCTCATCATCAACCTGCATCTCCAGAAGCTCTTGGGTGGATGGCATGCCTTCCTGCTCATTGAGGAGCTCGTTGCTCCAGGTTCCATCCGCGGCGGTGGCCGCAACCTGCCCAGCCAAGATGGGGTCGTTGGGGGACTCGTTCCGCTCTCCCGAAACCACAGCGGCAGTCGCCTCATGCGCTGCTGGGCGGGTTACGGATGAAGCCGGTGAAACGGTCCCCCCGTCGTGGGTTCTTGGCTCGTTGCCGACGTTGCCTTGGGCCTCCATGGCCTCACTACAATTTTGCCGAACCTGAAGTTCAGCCTGAATCCCTTTTGCGTTAATACTTATAGGATTCATCGTCTATCGACATGTTGAGGTTCCACACTGAACCCTCAACGCTGCCTGCTACGACCTTCCACGCGGAGGTGCTTAATCCATTGTTCTGGTTTCCCACCAGATTAAGCACGAATTCGTGGGTTTTATCTGCGCTCCTCGGGAAGAATACCACCATGTTATGCAGTTGTGGTATCTCCCCTCCTCTCCGTACACACAGGGCTAGACCCTTCCAACCCTCTAGCCTTAGCGCGATTTCCATCAGCCAGGTGGCCGAAGTCTCCTCCTGACAGTCGACCAGCAGCATACCGCCCTTAAAGAAAATGCCGTTGAAGGCGCCAGTGTAGCCTTTGTCAGTACATAGGGCATTAACTAGGCAGTCTTGGAGAGCCGTCAGCTGTTTGGACCCTAGGGCCTCCGCTTGGTAGTTGCAGGGCAACACTGCCATCCGGATACTCTTAACAGCCTCAGAGTACTTCCGGCTGGCGGTTTTCGTCGGTTGTTGGTTGGCGTTGGAGCACTTCCACTAGCTTCCTGTGGTCCGCCTCCACATAATCTCTTGGGCCTTGGTGGTTCTTGGGGAGTTATATGGCCGCTTTTTCTTTCTCCATACGTCTCGGTGCCTCTTGGGGCGCCGGTTTTGCTTCGATTCATCCTTCCGACATGGCAGCTTTAGCTCGGCGACCCTTTTGGTTTCTGCGTCTTGTTGCAGACGAACCATTGGCACTAGCGCGTTGTGCATTATTAGGAGAGGGATTTCTCATCCTGCTCCTACTCAGAGCCCGCTTTATCCGCTGTCTCCGGTGTCATGCCGTCCTGTAGGAATCTGATTTATCACTTGAGAGGAGTTCCGCTCATTCCAGCTCTACGTGGGTCGTCGCTGTGCAGCATCACCCCTGGAGGTTGGGAGATGCCGTGCTGTGCTGCGGTTTAAGCCCCTGCACCACGACAAGGTGCCTACCATTCGCATAGATAGTAGCGCAGTATGTCTTTTCTGAGGCGTCACAAAAGCCATGTAACTCGACTTTGTGATCGGGAGAGTAATTTACCCATCGCGGAATTTGAATCTGAGAAATGTCATTCAGATTGTTTGCGAACTGGAACCATTTCTCTAAGCGAAGAAGTTTCACTTGTTCGTCCCAGTCAGTTCCATCTAGCCATAATTCTTGTATTAAGATTTTCGCTTCGATCATAACTGACGAAAGCCATCCTGCGGGGTCGAAAAGTTTTGCCACCGTGGATAAAATCTGTCTTTTCGTTATGGCTGACAATGCGGATATGGACAGTCGTGTATGAGAACTGGTTCGGTATCGCATTTCACTGGATGCCTAGTGTATTTGTTGTACTTTCCTTCTCGAATATAAGGAAATTAGTGTCCAACATATTTTCGTTTGGAATATTTTTGAGTATATTTGGTTGATTTGCCGTAATCTTTTTTAATGGAAACCCTGCGGATTTGA